ATTGGTTGATTAGATAATTGCATTAATGAGAAATTGAACAGGTGTTCCTAATAATCCTTTAGGTGAGTGTATATATATATATATATATATATATATATATATATATATATATATATTTCCCATAAGAAATAATGGAAAACCAATTAATTGGTTCCCGGCCCTCGAAAATTACACCTAAATATGTTTTTTTTAGCATTTAAACACAAAATGAACAGGATAATACAAGAGCATACTGTCACGCCCGGCTCGTCCGATCCTCGTGTGTGCCACGCCCACCTCGTTACCTCGTGTTACTTCCTGATTGTGATCACCTGTTGCTTGTTCAGTTCAGCCTGTCTTTCGTATTTAGTCCGTGTCTCACTCAGTATTCCCCAGATCCCTCATTGTAGTGTTATGTTGGATGTTCGATGTCTGCCCGGATCCCTCAATAAACCCCGTTTGTCCGTCTTTACAGCTGTACTCGCCTGCTTGCCTGCTCCGTGAAACGTGACACATACACTGTAATAAATGCCCGTAAAAAATACAGTAAAAATACCTTAAATGGCGACAGAAAAATACCATAAAAAACAATCAGGTAAAATACCATTTCAAATATAGAAAAAGAACTGTAAATGTAAATACAAAATGTTTCTGTATTTAATACATTGTTTGAATGTACAGTTTTTAAAAATGCAGTAAAAATACTGTAAAACACCTTAAATGATAACGGGAATATACTGTAAATATCAATCAGGTAAAATACTTTTTAAAATATATAAACTGTTTGTAAATATAAAATTTCTTTAATATGATTTTTAGTTGTAACATGAATTATTTTTTGCTTCAGTTACTAGTGTAATCAGTAACATGATAATGACATGAGAATACGTGTTAAAATACAGTTTTAAATATGTAGTTCTACAGTTTATGGATACAAGGTATACCGCTATACATTAAACAGTGCTCCTGTTATTTTTCAGTAGAATTTATACTGTGCAGTCGGTGAGTCAAGCGCCGTCTGGCCTATTTGTATGTGTCCCAGCATGTCGTGCTGACAACGGCCGCTGTCCATGTCATGCATGTAGTTAATATTCCAGGTTCCATGCATTGTGTGTTCTGTACTGGTGCCCTGCTTAAGTTCAAACTTTATCCCCGTGTGTTTGACTGTGTATGAGTTACCCACCATGTGTAGTTCCCATTGTTCATACAGTGACCCTCCCCCTGTTCCACCAGTTAAAAGTAATGCTTGTTGTAGTATGTTGTTATACAAACAAGTGTTGTGATGATTGATATGATTCGCAGTCCTGTTAAGGATTATGAATAAAAGAGCTTTAACTGGACTGCATTTGTGATATGGCATCATGGCCGAAATCAATGGATAGGACAATAAAATGGAAAATCTACACCTGTGCATTTTACTGCTACAATTTGCAGTTTTTACGGTTTTTAACTGTTATTTTCACATCACAAACACATCATATTTTAACATGAAAATGTTTGGAAAATATGGATTTAAACCGTTTATTATACAGAATAATAATATGTACGGTATTACATTAAACAGTACTACTGTAATTTTTACGGTGAAATTCTGGAAACCACAGCTGCCAGTAATTTACCGTAAATTTAACAGATTTTTTTTTACAATGTATACTGTACTAAACATATCTAAGCACATTTATCAAAACAGTAATTTGTAAAGTAAGAAAATAAATGTATCCAAACAATGTGTCCTGCCCCAGTCGTCCGCTCCGTCTGTGTGCCATGCCCCCTCGTTAACCCCGTGTGGAATCCCCTTGTGATCAGCTATTTATGGTTGTTGTCATTAGTCCTCTGTATTTAGTCCGCGTTTCAGTTTGTTTCCCCAGTCCGGTCATTGTATTGTCCGTCTGCGTTTTGCCTGCCTCTCCTGTAGTAAAACCGCGTATTCCCCTACACCCTGAGGTCTGCGCCTTTGTCTCCCTTCCATCCCTGCTTGGCACAGCAATATTATAATTAAATGTATTAATGATTTATTATTAATATTAAAATAATTAATAAGAAATTTATTTTAAAATGTATTTTATTATATAATAGGCCTAATAATTACTGTTACTGTCTATCATTGTCTAAATGTATTTTTACTGTCTAAATATAGGTATTCAGTTAGTGTAAACATGCAGTCATAAATTGGTACTTGCAGGACTCATTTTTAATGAGTTTCAGATATCACCAGTAACATAGGGGCAGTGGACTGAATTGACATGTCCCCCATGAACAGAAAAAATAGAAGGTGCAGGTTTGGATTAGCTGTTCTGTGGCGCGAGCTTTATCACATCTCAGAGAGAGAAATGTCGTTTGGCGTGGGAGATTGTTGTGTTAAATGCGTGTGTCCCACAGACAATACGTGAGACTTGAAAGCTCTGCAGATGTAATCTAACGTTAAACATCTGATTAAACTTGAGAGCCCTGTATTTATGTTATGTCAAGGCATATGTGACTTGTTTGAACCGGCTTTTTAAAATGAACGATCATTCCCAACATACCGTTCCGACAGAATCTTAAGCTAAAATCTCTGACTAAAAAGGTTAAATGGAACTTTAAAATTAACTTAAGTATTTCACTTACCACAATTCACTCATTATTATTCAAACTGAATCAGCAATCTAAAGTCAATCGATGCCGTCAACAGCCTCAAATGGAGTCCGGTGAAATTGCTACGACGCCTAAAGGACATTGATTGGTCTAAACTGAAACGTTAACGCCCACCTATTTCAGGATTGGTTGTTCAGCGTAGATGATCAAATACCGAACGGTCAATAGAAAAAGCCGTATACACAAAGTATTCCAAATGGATTTATATTTGTAAAAGACAAGACTTTAGAGAAGATAAACTAATGCTTTCATTTGTTTTTACTTTTCCTTTTTTTAAGTAAACATAAGTCAGAAGAAAAATATTGATTGACGATATAGTTAAAAAATATCCAATAAGTATTAAATGGCTTTCCAATGTTAAACAAAAAATTATCATATCAGTGGGACTGTACTATTTCAGCAGCTGGAGCTTGGAGTCTTTTTGTATGTTAGCCATTGTCTCTTTATTGTGTTTCTTGTGCTCTTTAGTATAGGCTTTATCCCAAACAGACAGTGGTTACAATATAGTTGAGAGCAGAGCCGTCAGCCAGAATTTTACGCCAGATGAGGGTCAGGCATGGAACAGAGAATTACTAATGCTTGACCAGACCCAGGTGACATATACAACATAGTGAAATGTGAACCTGGTACTGTCATATAGACTATAGACCAGGGGTCACCAACCTTTTTGAAACTGGGAGCTACTTCACGGGTACTGAGCCATAGATTCTGGCTGACACACTCTTCTTAAATCATGTATAATGAACATGTTTTAAATGCTTTTTTTAGATTTTGCCATTTTCAAATCTAAGCTCTGGCTAAGCTCTCGCCGTGTTTAGAACTGTTCTGCCCTAGACAGAAAATGCAGACAGTCAGCCCGAGTTGCTCGCCATGCTCAGAACGGTTCTGGCCCAGATGAAAAATGCCGACAGTCAGCCAGAATTGTTCGCCATGCTCTCCCCACAATCGGCCAGCAATCTTTTGCTGTTGCCGACAGTGAACTGAATGTGCCACAACTCTCCTGACACTGACTGTAGTCCTTGAGACACTGACTTAACTATTGGCACCTAAAACGCTGAACCAAACAGAAGTATTAAAAGGGAGCTTGAAACTGGCTCAAAGCGTGAATATCCATCCTGGGTTTTGATCTGGAAAGATCTGTTTTTGCTTCGTGTGTGAATGACATATTCTGTCATAAACTGGTGAAACTTAATATGAATACATATCCCGCATTCCTGGAAGGGTGCTGTTCACATGACACTGGGCAGTGTGTTGGCAGCGAGAAGCACCCAGATGGGATTTTGTTAATTGCCATCAGCACCACACACACACACGCACATGTAGGGTATACATATCCTTATGGGGACTGCTCATTCATTTCAATGGGAAAAATGCTAACGCTAACTATGACAACCTTAACCCCTACCCTGCCCTAACCATAACCATAATTAACCTAACAAAATACAAGAGTTTTTGCATTTTTAGTTTTTTCATAGCAGTCACCGATTTTTATGAAATAGAATAGGAAACCTATGTTTTTTCTTTTTCCCATAAAGGGAAAAAAACAGATATTCATCACGTTATGGGGACATTATGTCCCCATAAGGATAGGTAAACCCGCTCGCACACACACACACACACACATAAACCTTCACAGCACTTGCCTTTTTGCAGACTCAGTCCAGGTGTCATACATAGATACATTTCATTTTTCAGTTTAACATAATATTTTACCCAAAGCAATCTTCTGTTTTACCTGTTTATATGGCTGGGCATCTAACTGCAGCTCCTCGGACTTAAGCTAACAGCCACGTGGTTACAGGGCTGTGTCCTTCACTGCAGGTCGGTGCAGCCTCTCTCACAGCCCCCTAGCGGCTGGCAGCATGGCAGCTCTGCAGCAGCCTCACACAAAACCTCCCAGTCAGCACGCGGCTGACAGGGGCATGGGGCAGGCTGTGGGGCTTGCCGGGCTGAGAACCTGATGCCGTACGTGTAAGACAGATCACCCCGGGAGACGGAGCTGTCTCCTAGCAACCTCCTACTGACAGCATATCTGCATAAAGAGATGCTCCCAGAAAGCCAGAACATCCTCCACTGTGGTGGTGCTATGGCTGTCTCAACCAATCAGCACTTTACATGCAAATGAGCTGGGAGTGTCTACGTCTGATTGGACCGCTGCTTCCTTTGCTTCTCCCCTATTGGATTGTCCGTCTCATTGTTGTCATTGTGGTAGAGATCTCCCTGGGCGTGGGGCACTGCATCGCGATGCTACAGCCGAACCTGCCGTCCTTTCTCTAGGGCGTTGTGAGAGGCAGGGGCACCAGGAGGGTGGGCGGTCGAGTCGGGGAGTGGCTGGATCGAGGAGCACGGCGGGGGAGGGGGGGATGAGGTGTGACAGAGGAGCTCTTTCAATCGGGGCCCGTAGAAGCTGCAGCCACCGCCGCTGTGCCATCCAATGCTGAGTCACAAGGGCCGCTGGACTCTCTGCCATCTCCCATGAGCAAGCTGCAGCCAGCATGGAGGAGCTGGAGCACACCTGCCCCCAGCCCCGCACGGTGAGCCAAGGGGGTCACGCTGGCAGGGTGGGTGGGGGGACATGCATGTTGGGGCAAAGGCACTTTTTCCACATCACTTTTGTTCCTTAGGCTCGCAGTGAGTGTTAGGGGCTTGTGGCGCTTATGCATGGCTTTAGGTCCATGTTGTTTGGGATGTAGCTCCTGTCTTTCCCTCCTGCCGGTGCCAAAGCTTGTCAGAGTAGGAGGAGTTATGCCCCTCCCTGAGCTTCTGCCCGATGCAGGTGCCCTCCGTCTGCCACCCCCACCTCGCCAGGACGTTAGCCGCGCCCATGCTCTGCGTCCCTCTGCCCGTGACTCAGCTTGCTCTGCTCCCCACATCTCCACACTAGCATCCTCTGGGAATAATAACTCCCAGCCACTTTGGGACTGAGCCACAAAGCCGGGACAGGACCTCCCTCATTCCTGGCACGGATTATTCTGGAACAGGAGCAGAAGGACGAACTGCCCTCGGCTTCCTGCTCTCTCCCGTCCCGCGTGATGTGAGCCGGTCACCCGCTCTGTGGACTTGACTGCTACGGTCCCAGGCTGACCCGGTCCAGTCCGGTCTGGCTGTATTGAACTTCCTGTATTGGTGGCCTGGATAGCATTTCTGTCACCATATCCACAGTCTCTATTCTGGCTGAAGTATCAGAGATCAATCCATAGAGCTTAAACCCCCCCCCCCCACAGTCCACCTCAGCTGTCCTTCAGCCCAGTGCATTTTGGGTAATCAGTGTGATGGAGTCAAACTGTCCATTACTGACACTTGCTGGTAATGCCTCTGATGGGGTTGGTGTGATTTAACTTCAGTTGCCTCAGAAACCCCACCCCATCCCCCCTGGCCAACTCGCACTCCCAGGCAGTGGCTCCTTCCCTTTACAGGCCTACCCTTGCTCAGAGGTCCTCCTTAGAGCAGAGCTGTATCAGACAGACATCTTGCTGCAGAGACACAGTCATGTGGTGCTCAGGGGTCATGCCAAAGTCACCGGGCAGCTCACCCTCCCATTTGAGTGCTGCTGCATAGCACCACCCTGAGTAATTAAACAACTAACTGGGGGTTATTATAAGAATTATTATCTAATGCTTTTATCCAAGGTAACTTAAAGTAGAGGGAAGGAATACAATTTATGATTCCTATAATTCGAATCCATGACCTTTGCATTGCTAGCACAGGACTCTACATGATAAGTTAAAGAAGCTGTGCGAATAAATATGAATGTAATTATAGGTTATCGGGTGGTCAGCAATATGGGTCATTGTGCTCCTAAAATGTGGGTGCCCTCCCTCTCCATCCCTGTTCAGAGGCTGACGGAGCCCGCAATCTTCGCCAAGGAGACAAGCTGCGATTGCCGCGCACCCCACGAAAAGCTGAGCATTGCACAGGCACGCTGCGGGACGCCAGGTCTGTCCCCCACCTCCTTGCCATCAAACATCAGTGTTTCAGAGCCCATCCTCAGCTCCTGGAGCCAGAGAGCCGGTCTCAGTGTCGCAGTGTCCATCCTCACCTCCAGGTGGTACTGTGCTCTTGTCCCCACAGTTGACCGGCCTGTGAGGGTCTATGCAGATGGGATCTTTGATCTATTCCACTCTGGCCACGCCCGAGCACTGATGCAGGCCAAGAACCTTTTCCCCAACGGGTACCTGATCGTAGGAGGCAAGCTAACGGAACACACAGACACATGCATGAACATCCCCATTTACTGACACACACACACACGCCCTGCACCATGACCTCGGATGTGCAGTAACACAGGACTCTCTGTGTGTCAGTCTGCAGCGATGAGCTCACACACAAGTACAAGGGCTTCACGGTGATGACCGAGGAGGAGCGCTATGAGGCCCTCAGGCACTGTCGCTACGTCGACGAGGTGGTTCGGGATGCACCCTGGACCCTCACTCCCGACTTCCTGGAGAAACACAAGGTCAGTCAGGCTTGCCCCATTGGCTGACCCTTTGCTGATCTGCCTGACCTCATTGGCTTATTGAGGCCAGCTGGGCTCACCCCATTGGCTCACAGATCACATTTTATTTCTCATTTAAATGGTCGCTCTCAATGTCAAGAGTCTGCCTTGATCAACGTGCCTTCCTCCTCAGATTGACTTTGTGGCCCATGATGATATCCCATACTCCTCTGCGGGGTCAGAGGACGTGTACAAGCACATCAAAGAGGCAGGTGAGGAAACCCACCATGACCTGATACACCAAAATGATGATGACAAGGGGTTATGTACCTGTGTGTCAGCAATTATTTTAGGTGCATGATGGATTGACCTACTGAGTCATGTTTATTTGCACCAGGTATGTTTGTGCCCACCCAAAGGACAGAGGGCATTTCCACATCCGACATCATCACCCGCATCGTACGGGACTACGATGTCTATGCCAGACGCAACCTCCAGAGGGGGTACACAGCAAAGGAGCTCAATGTCAGCTACATCAACGTGAGAGCAACCTTTAGTCAACATCCTGCCATAAGAACATGGTTTAACCAGAACTGGCCCACATAAGATCTGGCACACTCTTCTCCAATGTTCCACAAATCCAAAACTGCTGTACAAGCCACTCCCTGCTGTGCAACACCCTCACATACACTTTCCTCCTCTCCTCCATCCATCATAGGAGAAAAAGTATCGGCTGCAGAACCAGGTGGACAAGATGAAGGAGAAGGTGAAGACTGTGGAGGAGCGCTCCAAGCACTTTGTGAACAGGGTGGAGGAGAAGAGTCATGACCTCATTCAGAAGTGGGAGGAAAAATCCCGGGAATTCATCGGGAACTTCTTGGAGCTCTTTGGCCCTGATGGAGCCTGGGTAAGATCGGAAGAGAGGCCTGGATAGGGTCAAAGTAGAGACTGGGATAAGACTGGGATAAGTAGGGATGACAAGGTTTGAAACGTGGCCTGAGTTAGGTTGGAGTAGAAACTGGGGTAAAACTGGAGTAGGGGTCTGGGCATGGTTGGAGTAGAAACTGGGGTCAGACTGGAGTTGGAACCAGGATAAGACTGGAGTAGATGTTTGGGCAAGGTTGGAGTACAGAATGGGATAAGACTAGAGTATAGGTCTGCGAAACTTGAGTAAGACTGGAGTAGGGGTCTAGGCATGATTAGAATAGAAACTGGGTAAAACTGGATTAGGAGATTGGGTACTGTTGGAGAAGGGACCGGGATAAGATCTGAGTAGGAGGCTTCACTGTTTTGCTAATCCCCCCTGAAGAAGCGTTCAGGCTTAGCAAAGGCCCTGAAGGCTTCTTGCACATCTCCAGCTCCATGTGCAGCACATGCACTGCAGTGAGATGCTCTTGCAAATGGGCTGTGTGCATCTCAGCTGCTCAGGCTCCTCTGTGGTTTAGGGCTAAACAGAGTAACCCTCTTGGGCTTTTACACAGACCGCCACTGCAGATCTTCTGGGAACTTTTTTTGTGTCTAGGCACATCCTGAACAGAGATATCAGCTAATCAAATAAATATACAGTAAATATATTGAATATCAGTTTCTGTATCAAATGTAACATAACTGTTCTTTTGTGTATCGCACCTCTCCTTTTTAGAAGCAGATGTTTCAAGAGAGGAGTGGGCGTATGATTCAGGCCCTGTCACCCAGCAGCAGCCCCACACGAGAACGCTCTCCATCCCGCTCGCCGTCACCCCCCTCGCAATGGCCGCCATTGTCCCCCAAAGGCGCATCAGCCTCTATCAGCAGCATGAGTGAAGGAGATGATGATGACAAGTAGCACTGCCGAGACCATTCTCCCTTACAAGCCACAACCTCTTATAGACCATGCCCCCTTACAGGCCACACCTCCTTATAGACCATGCCCCCTTACAGTCCACACCCTCTTACAGACCATGCCCCCATACAGGCCACACCTCCTTATAGACCATGCCCCCTTACAGATCACACCCTCTTATAGACCATGCCCCCATACAGGCCACACCCTCTTATAGACCATGCCCCCTTACAGACCACACCCCCTTATAAACCATGCCCCCTTATAGGCCACACCTCCTTATAGACATGCCCCCTTACAGACCACACCCCCTTATAGACCATGCCTCCAATCATCCACAGATGAACACACAGACATACACGAGAAACAAACTGCACACATATCTACTCACACATGCTCACACCCTTGACGGCGACTGGATGCCAAGATTTTGTAGCTCCCGCCTAGTTCCTCCAAGTGGATAAAGAGGGTTATGGACACCACAGTTTAGTAACGATGGTGCCTCAGTCCCTATCAGCAGTTCTGCTTACCCAGCCAGCTGTGGATGCCCGAGGACTGACAAGAGGGAGAAACATCTGTGTACTGCTCAGGACCATTGCACAGAGGATGACTTTGATTCCCAACCTCACTTCTGCACCTTGATGTTTTCTTCACTTAAGGTCTTTATTTCCTGTGTATAGCGTGAAGTAGAGCATCGCATGGACAAGGGCCAATGAGGAGTCACTGAAACAGTGAAGCAGCCCTATGGCAGTAAAGATAGCAGGACCAAAATTGGGTCACAACAGCAGTACCATGAAATACAGTCCACTAGACTAACAAATTTGGGTACTGTTGGGTGCAAGAACCTGGTGGAATTCTATCCCACTGCACGTTGCATACATGAATCGAGCAGCCCTGTGACCACATGGTAGCGTGATAGCTAGTATAGAATCACCAGAGCATTATCTTCTAGAGTGAGCTGCTCAAACAAGCATTGTCCTGTTAAGCTTTCAGGGATGACTCTGCAAGCCCCTGGCATGGCCAGTCAGATAGGATGTCATCACTGAAGTCTCCATTCATTTCTTGGTTCTGACTCTGCTGAATGTGATTTCAGAATGCGTCATAACTCAGACATGACTTGAGAACTTCAAGGAGTAGGGTGGAAACTCTTCCTTACATGTGTTCATAGTCTTCGGTCTACCACCTTAGGACATTGGTGAGTAAACGGAAGAGCTTGTGAAAGGAATGATCCTCAGGCAGGATGACCACTGATGCAGCTGCTTCCCATGTGACTTTTGGGTACCTGGCTCTCACGGACATGGTTGGACAGTGTCACATGACCACAAACGCATATTCACGCACCATCCATCCAGGCTCTCATTGTCTTCTGTGTTCTTAAAATAAAATGTTTCTTTTGTAAAATGGTTGTTAATTCTATTATTTTGTACATACTTAACCTACTTGCTTAACCTTACGTAAAAGGTAGACAAACTCAGTAGAGTTGACTTCTGTTGCTCCTACCATTTCAGTTTTAATAGTTTTCTGAATTCAGTCAAAAATGTTGGGTGACAAGTCAATCTGTAAAAGCAAAGAGATGTGAAAGACCGTTTGGAACTTAATTTTTATATTTCTTGGTTCCTTTGTTACTTGACTGGAATGTTTTGCATTTTATCTTTCAATAAATTACCAAAGAGGCATTAGTTTCATAATAAAATGGAATCCTACTAAATTTTATTCCATTTTGCCACAAACAATGAAATGCAAGAAACACAGTATTTGCTTAAATGTACTTGATTCAGCTTTAGGTCGACTACACAGCCTAAAGTGATTAGGGAAACACTGGTGTACTGTGGCTACATAGTGCATTCAGAGAACAGCCCAATTACAGCAGAATGGCAGAATGCAGCTGGATCAAAGACAGGTAAATGCAGCAGCGCCGGGACCAGTCAAGACCACTGATTGGAGATGCTCCTCAAACCTCTCCTGTAAAATGTGACTCATGCATTTCGATGTGAAAAAGCTGCCAGGTAATCTCGTGGTAGATGGAGAGGGGGGTCATCTACTCACGGCTGGGCTGCAGCTGTAACCACGGTAACACTACTCATCAGGTTTAAAGGCATCAGCAGTGAGTACAGGCGAGACCACATGACCTTGACCCGAAACACGCCCGTTCCCAGAATCCGCCAGGAAATAAATTATCAGCAGCACTACTACACAGGTTTCACGTGTCAGTGCATGAGACAGAGTGCCCTCACTTACTGTACCAGGCAAGATCCTCTGTCTCTTTCATACTACAAACCATATTTACAGAAATACATGTGTGCATTTTTTCATTTTATCTATATATTACATACTAAACATAAACCTCTTTCAAGGTCACGGTATAAACATTTGCAAACTATTCCAATATATCTGTGAATTTCAGGACAGCACAAATAAAATAAAAACACACAAGCAGTGCAAAGGCGTTCCCCCATACCCGCCCCCCCACAATTACAGCAATGGGGGCCCACTTCCATCTCGGACGACGGGGCCCTTTAGGAGCGCCAGAGGAGCTGTCACCCCTGTGAGGGAGGGGGCAGGGGTCAGACGTGGGGAGCTGCAGTGGTGATGTGTTCCAGGCGGGGATGGGGGTCCTATCGGTTGGCTTTGTACTTGGAGGCGTCGCGTGGCTCGCGGCTGGGGTTGCTCCAGTCATCTGCCTCAGGGCCCGTCTGGTAGTGCCGCCATGCTGACTTGTTAAAGACGGGCAGGCGCTCAAACGACTCGCTGGACAGAGCCTGGGGGGCGGAACACCAATCAGAGGCCCTCAGTAATGTCACAGCCCCCCAACTTCATGGTCACAGCATGGGGGGGGGAGGGCAGTATCCCACCTTCAGATAAATGACAGCGTCTGTGCCCACGCCCTCCATGGAGTACAGATTCAGGTCGCCCTGGAAGTAGCGAGCGTAGAGCCGGGAGATGGGGAGCCCGTACCCGAAACCTGCCTGGGGGGGGCAAAGATAGGTCCGGGGCACAAGATGAAATCCAGGAACAAGAGAATCAACAGCTCAAACAGCAAACAGCAGGCGGAGATTTCTAGCACACATGTGGCATTTACACCAGTCCTGAGCAAAAAGGCTAATGCCAGAATTACTGGGTCCAAGCCGGGCCTTCTGGTGGCACAAGAACATAAGAACATAAGAAATGTACAAACGGGAAGAGGCCATTTGGCCCATCAAGCTCGTTTGGGGAGAACTTAATAGCTGAGTTGGTAAAATCTTATCTAGCTATTATTTAAAGGAACCCAAGGTTTTAGGTTGCACTACACTAAGGCTACATTCACACTGCAGCACAAATGTGGCTCAAATCCGATTTTTTGCTCATATGCGACTCAGATCGCATTTTTTCATGACAATGTTAACAGCACAAGTCACATGGAATTCAATTTTTTCAATTCCAATTTGGGCCACTTCAGTATGTGGCCATAAATCGGATACTGGTCTGATTTTTTGCAATGCGACCTCAGTCTGACTGGCAATTGCCACCCCCAACAGAGCCCTTGCCACCTCCAGTGCCACCTCGCTGGAAATGGTAAACATTAAAATATACCTATGATGAGATTGAGCAAAGATTTGAGCGGAAAACTGTAATTTCCGAGTGGTCCTGAACGCATCCCGACGCAGCAGTACCCTGTGCGTGCTGCTTACTGACATGTCATTGACTAAAAGCTCTGGCAGTGGCACGCGTTCCTACATGATCCAAAACACATCCGCAGTATTGGTAACAGCATGAGTTAAGCAGGTTTTTATAACATATTACACTGTATTACCTTACTAATGAGAGATGGTCACACACTTGCAGTACATAAAAAAATAGCAGCATGAAAGCGTTGCGCACTGTCTGCTCCATGTCTCATTTAAATCAGCCACGAGCTCTGCTCGTGCTGATATAGATAGTCTTTTAGACAGCGTCTTTGTACGTATGTATGTTTTAGTGCACATGCTGAATTATAGTGTTGTTTTATTATTTTAGCAAAGCTAGCCCTTGCTTGAAGTGTGTGGTAAGTGTATATGTGGAGAACCAGTCATTAGTTTTCCACTGCATGTAAACAGGCTATGCATGTCATATTAAAACTTTGAATCAATTTCACTATACTGTAATGTGAGGATTTAATTAGCTGCCTAGATTCATTAATTTAATTAATTAGATTAGGCTTGGTCTTTGATTGGTGTTTATGATTTTGTAAATGTTTGTTGTGTTTATTCAACAAACATTACAAACTCATTGTTTATTATGAGTGTGTACGAGAAAAATATTCAGGCAAAACTGGAAGGCTCATATCGTAACCAGGCAGTTTTCGAATCAATAAAGTGATGTCTTTGTTTTTGCACATGCGCGTCATTTCATCTTTGTTGTTTTGTGCGCACGCTTGCCAGTTCAGTATAGTGAACCGTTCACATTGAAATCTGATAAACACATTAAAAAAGAGTAATGTGAACAGGCAACCAAAAAATCTGATCTGAGCAGAAAATCAGAATTGAGCATTAAGGCCTGCAGTGTGAATGTAGCCTAACAGGAAGACTCTATACTCCATACTCTACACGCTGTGTAAAGAAATGATCTCCCGCTAATTTCCACCTATGGCCACGAGTTCTAGTATTTAAACTATTATTGAAGTAGCCATTTGGCTGAACAGCATTCAGCTGAATCCTTTCTAAGGCAGCAATGTTCTTTTTAAGGTATGGTGACCAAACCTGCACACAATATTCTAGGTGGGGTCTTACCAAGGAATTGTATAATCGTAGCATCACCTCCCTTGACTCCACACACCTAGAGATGTAACTCAACATCCTATTGGCCTTTCTTATTGCTTCCCCACACTGGCGAGAGTGGGACATGGAAGCATCAATATACACACCGAGGTCTTTCTCATAATCAGTGGAACCCATACAATATCTGTACTTTATATTTCTGCTCCCTGCATGGATTACCTTGCATTTATCTATGTTAAATTTCATCTGCCAGGTATCAGCCCAGTCGCTAATTAAATCAAGATCCCGTTTTAGCCTCTGTGCTACTAGTTCAGCATCTGCTACACCACCCACCTTGGTGTCCTCTGCAAATTTAACCAGTTGACTGTATGTACTGGTGTCAATATCATTAAAGTAAATTAGGAACAATAGTGGTGCTAAAATTTAACCCTGCGGTGTCCAACTATGAATGCAGGCATGCTTACCAGCGGTGTGGCGCGCGACGGCTGCAAGCTGGGGGAGGGCGCTGTCGAGTACATGTAGTTGAAGAGGCGGTCGATCTTCCTCAAGGGCACTCCGCCACCCATGTCGCTAATCTGACGGTGCAGAGGTCAAAAGTCACACAGGCCTTACCAGTACATCACATGCTTAGGTTAATGGCCGTGCCGCAATTGGTCTCTAGTGTGATCAGCAGGTGAAATCCAGTACCGTGATTGGCTTGTGCCTCTGAGCTGACCTTTATGGAGAGGTCCTCCTTCCCCAGGGTGACGAGCGCCTTCACTGGGGGAAACCCTTCTGCAGAGCCCTCATGAAACTCAACCGTGGCCCTCATTGAGTTCTGCTCAAAAAGACACACAGGAAAAGTGTCCTAATCAGTCTGAGGACCTCATGGGGGGGGCACCCACGGACTGGGGGGGACTGACCTTAAAGAGCTCAAAGAGCATGTGGAACAGGTGAGATGGGACATACACCACTTGGATGGGCTTCTTGGGTGCTTTGGCTGAGGAAGAGAGGATTGGATATTCACTCATAATAATAACAGAGTATCGTTTGAGCGCCCAGCAAGCCCAGAGAGCGGGACAGCTGCTCTGTCCAGCGAAACATTACCATTGAACTCCTCGACCTTCAGCTCAGGAGCCCCCATGTAATACTGCTCACACAGCATCCTGGCTGTCTCATAGGCATCTGGAGTGGCAAACAAGAAGGCAGCGGTCAAGTGACAGGAATACAAATATAGTCAAATGTTTATAAGTACACAAAATTAACAGGGAGTACAGAGTATACCATCTATCTATCAGGTTACATCCAAGCCTGGACCTCCAGAAAGCCCCACACTGAAGGCTTCAGAAGAGTTAGACATTGGCTCACCTGTAACCACCTCGGCCACGTTACAGGTGGGGTCGATACTGCCGATGTGTTTAGGGTGGGCAGGGTTGGTGTCATTACCGAATAGGAGAGCTGGAACAGGACCAGAGACAAACAGATGGGGATGAGGAGCAGAAATCTCACCCAGAGGAAACCAGCCTCATTGTCCTTTTCAGGGTCAAAACACAGATTGGAGTCCCAGTATTTCACTACAATATGTTCTTCACTCTCATCAGCTCGGAATGCGCGCTATGGTGATTGGTACTCCCTGATGTGAGCTTCTTACACCATGAAGATGAATGGCACCACCCGCTGGACAGATGGCACCCAGAAGGCTACCCCAAGCCTGTCACAGCCTCCACCATCCACTGCACTCACTTTCAGTGACAAGAGGCCAGTCATGTGCTGCATGACAGTCCTGTCTCCATAGTGACAGTCACTCACTGTGTTGGTTGATCAGCATGCGGAAGGAGACACGGCTGGTGTAGAAGCGGTCCAGGAAGTACTGGGTGTTGGTGCTGATGAACGGGTCGAAGCCGAACTTCTCCTTGTACTCGATCACACCTTGGGCCATGGTGGGCACCACATCATTGTGCCGGTTCCGGATCTCGATCAGGACGTCCAGGAAGCTGCAGATGGTGACGGCATACACACAGGTTAATTAAAGGCCTCAGACTTCTGGGGTTCGGAACCATTCCTGTAATGCTCGCGAAACCCCATATCTGAAATGCGGAGGCAGCCCAAAACCAAGTGGATCCATCTGACATGGAGGCGGGTCGCTATATCATGGGGTCCCTGCCTGACCGCCGCCCCCCCAGCCTACGTACTCCTGCAGGGTGCGAGCATTGTCTGGGCTGTGGTCCTCAAAGTCCAGCAACTCCAGAAAGCTCTGCATGTACCTACAATGCACAAAGAGAGATGACACTGTCAGTTGGGCCTCCTTGGCTCCTCAGGCCAAACTGACCAGCATTATTAATTAAAAAGCATTATCTGAGAACAGCAGGGCATGCTGAGACATTCCTTAGGCGATGCAGACCCAATCTCTGCTGAACAATTGAGTGCCCCCACCCAACTCTGCCCATGATCCCACCCATCACTGACCAACTCCTCCCTGACCAAACCCAGCAACGTGAGGGCCCCACCCCCACCCCCCGCACCATTTCTGCACCAGCTTGACGGATGGCTGGCTCAGCAGCTTGTCAGGCAGCAGGTTGACCTCCCGCATGGTGTTGGCCAGCCGTACGGCCAGCTCTTTGCGCAGGAACATGTAGGAGGTCTTCTCGCACGCATTGTCCCTACCTGGGAGAGAGGGGCAGGACAGGAGGGAGAGCGGAGGGCATGCAGGAGAAAGGGGGGGAAGGAGGAGGCCAACATGGAGAGTGTGTGGCAGAGAGACGGGTAAATGTGTGAGACTCATGCTGTAGCCTGTGCTGAGGAAGCCCCAGCACACAAACCGTGGTGAGTCACTGTACAAAACAGGCCGAGGCCAACAGGAATTTTCACATCAGGATCTTCCTTTCTCTCCCTCCCTCTCTCTCCGTCATTCAGCCAAGCCTGACTGCCCCTACAGGCAGACAGAGCCCTTGTGACTCTCTCAGTCTGTCCCTCCCTATCCATCATTTCCTCACTCACGCCCTCCCGTCTGGTCTCTCCAGAGGAGGACACATGCGACAGCCCCTGGGACAAGGGTGCCTCTCTGTAGGGGGATGGAGACTCACCTGGGAGCCAACAGTACAGGTGGGGGATCAATAGGGTGACCAGATAATCCATGTCCGGGAGGACACTTTTAGCTACTATGGGTTTTACAAACTACTTTCAAACTGAAAGGCTCCTGTGCTCGGCTACATAGTTCAGCTCTTCTTGTACTTTGTCTGGTTTGTTTCCTTGACTGAAAGACTCATCCAGCTGTTTCACATTAGCA